TTATATCCTTATTCCTTATCTACATGTATGGTCTATGACGCAAACTTTAACTACCTTTAATTGCATATTTAATTTCTTTACTTCGGCGTCATGCACAGAGACCGCCGCATTACTTAAGAGCTATCCGACTATAACACATTACGTCATACGACTTCGTATGATCTTTATGTCGGACCCGACAACATAACAAAACTAGAAAAGCACTCTGAGAGCGCAGACCTCTGCCAAGGCAGCAATTTTTGATTATTATTGATTATTGATGGATTATCGATCCAAACCACCACTAAAAACTAATCATTGTCCTCCTTGACCCACTTCTGACAGTTCCTGAAAATTTCATCAAAATTGGTCCATAACTTTTTGAGTTATGTTCATGACAGACAAACAGGGGTGAAAACATAACCTCCTTGGCAGAGGTAAATATAATTCCAATGAAGCTGCTATTCAAACTTTTAATCTTTGAGTTTGATATATATATATATATATATATATATATATATATATATATATATATATATAACTTATTTGCAATATTAAACAAAATTTACCTGCATAATTATCACTGCTTCGTTATTATTAATCTAGCAGAGAGCTTAACCTTTGGGAGTTTACAGGGAAACATCAACAAGTGTGCTTTATGTAATCTCATTTAATGGCCTATTAATTAGGCAAATTACTTTATAACTCTGAAATTAGCCTAGTGATACCCAAGGAAAATTTACAGACTGACCCTCTCAAAGGTTTTCAGGCCCATAAGTCACACCTTAAGAAAAGCACAAAACAATAATGCACAAAATAGGAGACTACCAATTCTGATGCAATAATACATTATGTTTAACTGCACAGTCAACATCAAATTTTAATTATGCACAACAGGTAACACCGACGGAAGTAAAAGCATAAGGCTTCAGGCCCATCAGAGTTCAAGTTTATACTTAGAAAGTGCCAGAATGAGAAAAATGAAAATTTCACAAAAAATGCATAAATTTAATAAAAATGATAATCTCATAGAGCTTGTTTGCTAATATGAGCTGTATGTCAATCCTAAGAATCATTCTTGTAAGACTAGTTGTAAAAAAAGAAAGTAACAGCTTTCTTTCCATAATGTTAATGGTGGCAGTGCACAAAGTAGGTTTTTTGTCAATTTTGATGCAACATTACATAATGATTAACTGTATAAATACCACCAATTTTTAAATATCTACTATTAAAAACATGGACATTAAGAAAATTTGATTACCACTGGGCTTCATGCCCAAGGGAGCTCTAAGTCCCACATTGAAATTTCCAGTATGTGAAAGATAAAAAATTTTCACAAAAAAAAAAAAAAAACTATAAAGTCCAGAAAATTAACTAATGAGACAGATTTTCCAACTGAGGCTGTATTTCAGTCCTATGTTTCTTTCCTTTAAGTGTGAAAAGAGCAAGTGACATGGTTTTCCTTTCACGGTCACTACGGAGGCAGTGCCCAAAATAGGGTTTCGTTCAATTTTGATGCAATATTACACAATGCTTAACAGCATAATAACCATCAGTTTTTTAATGATAAAATAAAACTATCATGGTATTCAGAAAATGTGTCTAGCCCATAGAGTTCAGAGTCACACTTTGAAAATCCCAAAATCTAAACAAGAGAAAACTGTATTGAAAAGAGCTTATTTCCATTTTCAACACCTTTTTTACATAAAACAAAATAATCGATTTACTGTCATATTTATATGATCAATTAAAAAAATATGTTGTCAAAGGAAATATATCAATAGAACAAATTTAAATATCCAACTTGCTCCATTCTGAGATTCTTAACTAAGTGAATGATTGAATATGACTAACTGCAATGATATGAGTTCCTTTCCATTTTTGACACTTTATTACACAATGCACAATAAAAGGTGTACTGTCATTTTTATATAATCAACTAACAATATTGTTAAGAAGCAGAAAATGTCAAAACAACACTTTTTCATATCTAATTACTTCCATAATGAGACTGTCAACATGCCTAAGAATTAAATCTGAAGAAAAACCACTTATATACAAAAGGTCTTAATAACTTCATCAAAACTTAACTGATCAAGTTTGAAAATAAGCTTGATCAGTATACTAGTCAGACTGATCACTCCTGTGAGTTTCAAGACAAAAGGCTGATTGGTTTTCCTTAAAATGCGTTATCAGTGTTGCATATATGCTGAATAATGGAAAAAACAGCATAACTTTAAATTTGTAAAAATAGTCCAATCAAGCCAATTTTCGAACTTGACCTGCGTATTATTAATATTCATCAGTTCTGTAAGTTTCAAGCCAAAAGGTAAAATGGTTTACCACTTATCATGTTATCGGTGCTGCATATATGCTGAAAAAAGTGAAAAAACAGCATAACTTCCCTAAAAATGGCCCGATCATACTGATTTTTGAACTTGACCTGCGTATTATGAATATTCATCAGTTTTGTAAGTTTCAAGCCAAAAAGTAATATGGTTTTCCACCTATCGTGTTATCCGTGCTGCATACATGCTGAAAAAAGTGAAAGGGGGGGGGATGGGGAGGGGGGTTTTGTGTCATGGCTAAAACGAATGTAACTTGTTCCCCTTACCCTGACAAATGTCCGAAAAAGGTTATACATGTACCTGTCCAAGCACTTAGTGCAAAAGGTATTAACAAGGGATTTTATGTTGTCAACTGAAACATCTATACCTTTAGTGTACTTTCTGACATAAATATTGCACCAAGAATAAAAAATAGTTTAATGCTTTTTTTTACTGTCTGTGTGCTGCATTTTTCCCTTCAGTGACAAACGAACTAAAGTCGCGCAAAATAAATAAATAAATAAATAAATAAATAAATAAATAAACGCTCTATACAGGATATTATAATGTTTTTTTTTACAATGTAATACTTGTAGGAAAAAAATTTAAAGAACAAAACCCATAGATCAAATTTTTTTAAGTGAGTAAAACACTTCCGCAGCTGAAGCTTTACATTTGTGACAGTAACGTATGTTCCCTTT